CATGAAAAGCCATCATTTCCCTTTGCATATGATGTATAATTGAGGGACTGGGTAGATTGAGATAATTATGTCTTTGCTTCAGGATCACATTTTTCTTCAAGGACAAATAGAATCCATCTCCCTTGGGGAAGGGTTGGTGACTTCTCACACTTCTCTCTTAATACATTCACACTTCAGACTTTCTTCTAAGTTACAGATTCTCTTTATTTTCAGTTTCTGTGATTCTTTTATGTTTGGAGAACAGTCTGATTGCTTTCTCTGTTACATTTATTCAGATATTTATAAAAACCCATAGCTTGACTCCGGCTTGATTCCCCTCTCACAGGGGAAGCTCCAGGGAACCCTGAAGCAAATGAGGAAAAAGTTGCAGCAAGTTGGACAATTGGAAGCTGAACTCAAAGAAAGGAGAACTTACTGGGAGGTAGGAAGAGGTTCTTTTTGAGGGATTTAGACAGAAATCTGGTAGAACTTGGGTGATAACTCAAGGAACTCCCTATCTACCTTTTTGTTATCTGTTCATTAACATATCCCAGAGTCATTTGTGTTTTGTCCCAACTTCTGTGACCTGCCACAAGAAAGGAAAGTAAAAGGCAGAGAGGCTGAGCAAGCAGAGTTTATTGCTCCCAGACAGCAGCTGAGACGGAGTTCCTAGAGTAGGGTCCGCAGCTATTGCCAACTCAATAAGGTGGAAAGGGTCTTTTATATAGATCTAGTTTCACATTTCAAAGGTGACTCATCGCTGTGTCCTTAATGTGAGGCCCAGTTTGCTGTCACCTTCAGCTAGTCCCCTCCAGGATCTCAAGATCAGTTTTATTACCACTTTATCAAGCTTGGATGCAAGGCAAAATTCTTTACCACCCTAATTCAGTCCTTGTCAGTAAATCTTTGGTCACCCCCAACAATTTGATTATCCTTTTCTTTATCATTTCCCCATGGAGGTGGGGATTGAAAAGAGCATATCAGGGAGGAATGGATCTTTGGGGGAAAGCTTCATATGGAGGGACATTGGCCAGGATGGCAGTGAATTCTCTGTTCCATTCCCTTCACAGGTTTGTGTCTTTGACTCTACTGGGGGAAGTTAGGTCATGACTCATGGTTTTGTGGTCAGTGTCCACTGGCAGAGGGTGAGGGTGTGGTCAGTAGTAGTCTGGCTGTGTGAACGTGGAGACATACCCAGTTGCTCTTTTTTGGCTCAGAGTTGGCCCCAGTGCTGCAGGCTTGAGGTCATTATTGGAATATAACAGAGGGGAAGTCATAGGTGAAAAGCTTTATGAATTGTTCTCATGCTTCTATCTCACTTTGCTGTGAGAACTTTCCAATTACAGTGGTTCTAGTTCCAGTTCCTAGTCTTGTAA